TAAGAAAATGAAAGATTAGAGGCAGTCTATAAAATAGAAACCCTGTTTACTCACAGTATTTGGGAGAACTATTAAGTTCTGACATGTGATGTAATCACAAATGCTGTCTATCGCCAAGGCTTTGTTAGGTCCCTTGCTTGGCAAATTGCAAGTCCCCCCATCCCCACCACCATGTCTATATACATAAAGGCTACCCGGATGCCCCCCAAGTTGGCAAAATCAGCTATTCTAGCCAGAGGCTCTATCTTATAGTTTCCAGCATCTCTAAACTACAAAGTAGGCAAAGATCTCTAAGCAAGCATTGCAACGTTTCTAACAGAATCTCCACACTTACCCTCACAGGACCTAGCAGGCATTATCTTGCTTAGAGACCCAAAATAACTATTGGGGCCAGGTGCAGTGGCTCACATCTGTAATTCCAGCACTTTGGGAGGCCGAGTGGATCACGAGGTCAGGAGATCGAGAACATCCTGGCTAACAAGGTGAAACCCCGTCTCTACTAAAAACACAAAAAAAGTAGCAGGGCATGGTGGTGGGCGCCTGTAGTCCCAGCTACTCGGGAGGCTGAGGCAGAATAGCGTGAACCCGGGAGGCGGAGCTTGCAGTGAGCCGAGATAGCACCACTGCACTCCAGCCTGGGCAACAGAGCAAGACTCCGTCTCAAAAACAAACAAACAAAAAACTATTGGGCCAAGCTTTCCTAGGAGACTTCACTCAATGGGAAAAGTATGCTAAATTTATGGTACAGGTTGAGCATCCCTAATCCACAATCTGAAATGCTCCAAAACCCAAAACTCTGAGTGCTAACATGATGCCATAAGTGGAAATTCCACACTTGACATCATATGACAAGTTGCAGTCAAAACTTTGTTTCTTGTATAAAACCATTAAAAATATTCTATAAAATTACCTTCAGGCTACGTGTATAAGGTGCATGTGAAATATAAATGAATTTCACGTTTAGACTTGGGTCCCATCCCCAAGATACCTTATGTATGTGTGAATGTCCCAAAATCTGAAAAAATCTAAAATCTGTGGAACCCTTCTGGTTTCAAGTATTTCAGATACGGGACACCCAACCTGTGTTATCACCTGCCATCTCATTTGGTTCCTGCAGTGTGGTTAGTGTATCTAACTAAGTGGTATTAACAGCGTTTAGAGTTTTTGTTGCAAGCCAATAGAAGAACTTAGCAAAGAGACACCGATTTAGTTTGAAAAATGCAGAGAGTAAAATTGAGATGATTTTTACTTAAAAGCCAGATTCTCCTATAGCTAGGTTAGACTCTGCCCCAGCTCTTCAGAAGAACTGTCAGTCCTCAGATTTTCTAGCCCAAAACTCTTAGGTGGCAGAAAAAATTGTCCCAAATTGTCTCTGGACTACTTACTTCTGCTTAACAAGTCTATCTCGCCCATAATCTCAGTAGACGGTATTTTTGGACTGTTTGCCTTGAAAGTAGTCTATCATGCTGTTGTCCAAGTAGTCTTTTGAGATTAATTAATTAGTAGGGACCAAACTAAGCAATTTTGAATTTAATCAACCAACCATGGAGAGGGCAGTTGTATTAGCCACCACAAGGAGCTCCCTAAGGCAGGCACATTTACGATGAACATCATTATAGACCTCATCAAGCCCTTTAATGCATTAATTTCTTAGGCTAGTATATGAAGGTGGTTTTCCAAATGAAAGTCAGTATCCAAAGTGAATGCAATCATTACTTTAAGTCATGTAGGCAACTGCCTCGTTTTAAGCACTTTTCCATGCACTGAAAAGAACGACTTTATTTACATTCTGTGAGAAATAGAAAATGGGCTAGATATTTAAAATGAATTCTACGCTGTGTGCCAAGTCTTCAAGGTTTGGGATCACAACCTGAAGCCATACGGCTGGGTACTATCTGTTCCCTTGATCTTATGGTCATGTTCTACTCTAGGAGTTCTTGTTAAGTATCATCAGTTTGTTACCTCTCCTGGAGCAGAAGAGGCTTGTAACAACTTTTTTCCTCTTCCAAAATTGTAATAAAACTAGCCAAGTCAAGTCAAGTTTATGGTTATTCAATTTTATGACAGGTAGAGACACTTGGATCAGGTCTTCACTTCTTTTGAGCATGGAGGCTGTCACCTTTGCTAGCAACATTTAGTGTTAAATAGCAGTCTATTGTACTAAAGTCTTAATATTGGCAGCTCTACTTGACCTTTATACATGCTTTAGGTATCTGGGGACTCAGGCCATAAAAGCAAACAATCAAAACGACACAGGACAGGCACTATAGGTAAATGCCACATAAAGTGGGCAAGAGGGTGATTCAGGGAACAAAGCTACACTAGGTTTCAAGAAGCTGTTACTGCCAAGAAGGGCTTGGCTGGTGACCTTCCTTTACACAGTCCTTGCTCACATGAGTGATCAGGTTTTGATAAGGGTTACTATCGTCATACCTTCATTGGCGGTATCTGGATGAGCCAAGTTTACTTTCCATGCCTTCCAGTTTCTTCCCTCCAGGTCTATTACTACCACCAGTAACACCAACCCACTTCTCACAGTGAGGGAAGTTTCCTTCTACTCTTAGCCTAGTTGCTAGCCATATATGAATAGCTCTCACAAAACCTTGGTTTTTTAAGACTTTGGCCTTCAAGAATATATCATACCACAGATCTTAATCCTGACTACTCAGGCTGGAGGAAAATGTCCTAGAACCCCCAGCAATTGTGCAATCAGATATACCAACTTCTCAATAGCTTTAAGTTCCTTGCCAGAGTCTCAGTGCTCACCTGCCTTGTCCAGGAGTACCGTGGAACAGCACCATGTGCCAGTGGAGAGACAGGGTGTGCGTAGAAGCTCCAGGGTAGGAAGTGAGCCCACATGCCCTGGGACTTTGAACTTAAGACAGATGCCAGTTGGGATTCGTTTAGAGTCAATACCTGCCTCAGCCCAAATTTCCTCCAGTTCTGAAAGAATCTGCCTCCTTTCCTTTGAAGAATTTGTTTTTTCCATTTTTCATGGCATGTCAAATATTTCACATGTGACAAAGAGGATCCTCACCTGCCTAATACAAGGTGAATATCTGGCTTTGACTAACCCAAGTCAGTTTAGGTGCACTCCTAACATTCTATAAGGTAAAGTTAACCTCTAGTGGAAGGGACATGCAGCAAAAATGAAACTTTTCTCTCACCTTCCTGGATAATTGTCCCTCCTGGTATACCTTAGTGTTTTGAAATGTTACAAAAGGCATAATGCAAGTCATGGCACTATACTGAGAAATCGTTTAATAAGTTAGTATTACTCATCCATTAATGATTAATGCTAGCGTTTGAAAACTCTTGTAAGCAGAGCTTTTCTAGGCTCTCAGGCTTGTTACACATCAGATTCCATGTTCACTACACATTCGTCCTCTTCAAAGAGTCCAGGCAGGGGAAGGCATTTGAGGAGCTTGTGGAGTCTCCTACTTTCCATTGAAAATAACACTTCCCGTGCTGCTCGCTTAGGAGTCCGCGGAACCATGTGACCAACCTAAACGTGATCGCACTGCCAGCCAATCGCAGAGGGCAGAAAGGCCAATCCCAGTTCACACCCTCCGGACAGTGGCAACTAAAGGGCAGGGGCATTCGGAGACGTAAAAACCCCAGGCATTGCCCGAGAGGCTCCTTGACCACAAACTTTAAAGTTCGCTCTCACTTCAGGAGCACGTGACTGCAGGCAGGCAGGGCCCCTTAAGCCACCTGGCTACTGGAGCTAGGGACTCTGGAATGGGTGTTTCGGCCGGGGCGGCTTTCAGTCCCAATTCCCCGCAGCTGGCAAACAAGCCCCTTGGCGTCACATCTGAAGATCACTTCTGGGACGCGCTAGGATTCTGACTGAGTCCTCTTAGAAGGGCTTCCTGTCGCTTGTCCAGGAAAGTTATGAGGCCCCAAGTGGGAACGTGGCTGAAGACCAGGCAGGGCCCCCAAGCCCCTGCGGCAGACTCTAGGGACCCGACAGTAGTCACACCGCCCTTCTCAACAAGACAGGGCCACACACTCGCTCTCGCGCTGTTCCTTTGATTTATTGTTTAGAATGAAGGCTAATTACAGTCACTAGCCTAGGACTCAATTCCTCTCGAGGAAACGTCAACGGGAAGGAGGATCAGCAAACTAACCTGATTAAGTCTTCGTTCCATTCCTCCTCCCCATTCAGCTACACGAGAGACCCGAGAGGTTTCCAAATGCCGCCCGAGGCGTGGAAAAGGGAGGGGAGAAGCACCCAGAGGACAGTCCTGCGTAAAGCCCGCTCCTCCCCTACCCCGCACGCCGGAGAGGCGGCTCCGCGCCGGGGGAGACGCAGTCTGGATGCGCAGACTGCGCACTGCCCGCGGCTCCGCGGAGCCTCCCGGCTGCCGCCCACCGAACGTGCGCCCGCTCACGGCCGCCGGAAGACTCCGAGCCCCGGCCCGCACCTGGCGCCCCGCGTCCCCGGAGGCCCTCACCTTCGCCCACCGTCCGCTCCCACACTCCCTGAGGTTCGAGGGGCGCGCCCCGGGCTGCCGCGCACGTCTCGGCCCTCTACCTCCTTCCTAACACTCCGCCTGGCAGAGGAGGCAGAACCATTGTTCAATGCTCAGAAGCCCACATACCTCAGCCCCTGTCAAGGGGGCGAGAAACGAGGCAAAGCAGCGGCTTTGGGGGAGGCGGTGTGAGGGATCGAAGACTAGTTCAGGCGAGGCGTCAGGACACCCCAAACCCCACTGTTCCCCAAGCCCGGCTCCCTTTAGCCGCGGCGCTGACAGCTCAGAGGCGCCACCACTGAGGGGAGGGAGAGAAGGCGAGAGCGAGCCGAGAGGCGCCTCCTAGGAGGCGGGTGGGCAAACGGAGACCTGCGCCTCGGGGTCTCCCGGTGCCCCGGCTGGGTCCCGGCCGCCGGCGGAGGGGCGCGTCCTCACTCACCGGTTCCGGTGGCGCTGCTCTCCCAGGGCGCCCAGCACAGCGCGAGCAGCAGCCAGAGCGCCCAGCGCGCGGACGTGCCCATGGTGCCCGCCTGGATGGTGCCGCCGCCGCCGCCGCCGCCGTTCGCTCCGCACAACAAGTTACCAGCCCTTCCGAAAGGAGGAAGAAGGTGGGGGCGGGGAGGGGAAAGGGGGAGAAGGAGGGGGAAGGAGTTGGGGGGGAAGGGAGCGGGGAACAAGAGGGCACCCCCTCCCCTACAACTTGCACAATCTCCTCCCCACCAGCCAACCCACCCACCCATCCACCTCCCCGGGCTGCAGCAGCAGTGCAAGCCGAGCCTGCGGGCAGAAAATAATGCAGGCGCTGCAGAGGAGGGGAGGGAAGGGGAGGGGAAGGAAGGGAGAGGGGGTGGGGAGCCAAGAGCAGAAGAGAGGACAGAACAGAGAGGAGCCGGTAGCGGAGCACCCACACCGGCGGCGGCTGGAGCTCGGGGTGAGGAGCGGGGAGGGGGCAGGAGGGGGAGTGGTCAACGGGAGGCGCGGCGGGCGGGCGGGAGCGCGGCGGCTTCAGTCCTCCTTTCCCTCGACGCGCTCCTCTTACACGCGCCGGGCAGCTGGGTGCCCGCGCCGGGAGTGTGCGAGTGTGAGCGTGCGGGCATGAGTGACCGTGGTCGTGGCTGTGGCCGCCGCCGCCGCCGTCGCCACCCGGGCTGCTTTAGGGGCCCGGCTGCTCCGCGAGGCCGCCTGGAGCTCACGGGGGCCCGGGGCGGCCGCTGGTTGGCTCGCGCACCGCCCTCGTCTCCAATCCCCGGTGCCTGTCCTAATTTCCTGATCCAGGGAACCTGCCGCCGCAGCAGCTGTGCGCTCTCTACAGTCATTACTGTACCCTCCCGGCAGCCGCCAGCAGAACATGCAGCAGCGGCAGCAGTTAGCGCTGATGCAACTATCTTTGCTATTGCCACTGCCTCCCCACTAACGGGGCGTGCACCTGGGGGGTACTTGCAGTTTCTAGAGGCAACAATCATCTCTCTACCACCCTCTCCTGCGCCCCTGAGAGAGGCTGGTAGGTAGCATCTTCTTCGGGCCTCCTCTCTCCACTCAGAAAGTGATGAAGCTGAGGGACTCCAAACGTTTGGGGCGCTCAAATGTGGGGTTTGGGATGTCGGTCTCAATCGCACGCTGAGATGCCATTTTTCTAAAAACTAAATGTGTCTTTAAGTGAGAGAGTGTGTGTGTTTGAAAGAAAGAGTGCGCGCGGTTGTGACTGCTTCTCTGTAATAGAACAAGACTAAAATAACCCAGCCTGGGATAAGGAGAAGGGAAATTGCTAGCGCAGCTTTGCGTTTGCTCATCAACGATTATAGTTAATTGCTAATTGCACAAAATGATAGTTTGAGGGCCTGTAATTAAAAGCTTAACCTTTTCTTGTTTGGAAGAGACGGGCCCCATACGTTTATTCCTCTTGATATACTTTGTAACATTCAATTACAAGAATCGAGGAAAGAATAAAGGAAGCAAAGGCAAGACTCCTAGAAAGGACTGATTCTTCTTTTGTGCCTGACAGTACCTGAGTCTATAATTTGCGTTTTGTGTACTTCAGTTTTCTTGCACACTTAGCCCTGGTTGAGGTGCATTGTCTGCTGTGGTCTGCTAAGCATCTAACCAGAGTGGGAGGGCACATTGAGCGATTTCACTTTCTTAAATAAAAGGTTTTTAGGTATTTTTAAAAAGTTGTTTTTATCTTGATTCAAACTTGGAAGATTTCAATAATATCATATTCTGACTCTATTCTGTTGGTGATCTGAAGAGTAGTGGGCACTGCCTCACTGTCTGCTCCTTGCCCTGGTTCTTGTGGAAATTTGTCAGGGCTAGCAATCAGGGGAGATGTCTGTTAGGAACTTACTATATCCAGGAGACACACAGGAGAGGAAAATTCCAAGTCAGGATATGTTTCTGTGGGACCAAAGATATCCTGATTGTGACTGCTAAGCCTGAAAGGGCTTAACTCTAGGTATGGAGGGGATCTTGCACTATAGTTCATTTTGAATGCTATTTTGCCCACCCTGTGGTTACATAGTTGATACAAACTGCAGCAGTCACACAGGTTGCATGTGAAACAACTAAAATTTGTTTTTATGACATTTAGTAGTGAAGATGCATGCTGGTGTTATTCACCAAACGGCATTGAGATGTGATGGGAAAACCTTAGTGCATGATGTCTTTCATATTCTCAGGGTTCTGAAATGCCATCTGATGAGCTGTCGCTGTACACAAGAGGAAAGGAGTAGAGGGGATGGGTGGAATCAATACGAAAAGAGGCAGCATTAATAAACAGTCATATGACTTGATTTAATACTTTTCTCAGAGATATAGGTATACTACAAGCTATACATTGATATGGTATAATAAGACTTATCTTTGAAAAACATGTGTACTTTCTAATTCTCCAAGGGATATAAATAAACTTTCAGTGAACTTAGCTGCAGCTCTATGTTCAATCCTGTAACTTTTTTGTTGACTCAAAATAAAGCGTTACTTTTGGCTCCATCTGTGATCGACATATAACTTGGAAAAAATCACTGTGCCTCTCTGTGTCTGCCTGTTGGCCAGTAAACTGAAAATAAAACCGACCCACATTATATCAAAGTGCTCCGTGGCCTCACGGACCAGCTCTCTGCAAGGCATTGTTTATTAGAAGAAAAAGGTTGTATGGAGAAATGCATTTGATTATGATAGAAAGTAGCTAATAACTAAAAAGATAAATTGATAAGTGGAGATGGAAGTGGTTGAACTAACTGAGCTAATTGATCATAAGTGGAGACTGAAATGGTTGAACTAAGTGGGTTCAGATAAGTTGACACTGCTGGATTCCTGATGCCTTCAGGTAAATGCAGAGGCAATCCCATTCCCTCCTACAATCCACCACATTCATTTATTTGTTGAAGCAACACATACTGAGCATCCCTCGCTAACAGGCAATGTGCAAAGTAGTGGGCATACAGAAGTGCTTATCTAGGAAGCTCAGCATCTGGTAGGGGAGGCAGGCAAGTGGGCAATTGTAGTACCCTATGTATAGCACTCTGATTAAGAGAGGCTTAAAGTGCTGTAAGATTGCAGGGAAGAAGCAGCTATTCTGGCTGCAGGATGAGGGTATCAGAAAAGGCTTCACAGAGCGTTTGTTTCCGAGCTTTTTTCATGATTTTTACCCAGTAATCTGAATTCTCCCTACTTCTGGACACATGGTAGAATTGGACATCCTGGCCCCCTTATGGTTGGATGGGGTCGAAAGACTAACTTTGGCTAATTATTTGTGAGTCTAAGTTACAGGGTGCCACTTTCAGACTGGAGCATTTAATTGCATATAGGAGACCCTCTCTTTTTGTCTGCATGGTGACAAGAAATGTTTAAGAGGTGGCTGCTGCATTAGTCCAGGTCTCTGAGTGATTAGATTCATTTAGAACTACCCATGTGAGTAGTTCCCTGCTGTCTATGTGTCTTTAGCAATGTTCACATAGAGTAGAGGTTAGCACCTAGGGCTCATGGGCCAAGTCTAGCCAGTCACCTGTTTTTGTATGGCCTACAGATAAGAATGATCTTTACATTTAAAAAGAGTTTTACAAAGAAGAGGTATAGTGTGCAACAGAGACTGTATGTTGCTCACAAAGCCTAAAGTATTTACCATCTAGCTCTTTAGGAAAAAAAACAAAAAACAAAAAACAAAAAACTTGCCATCCCCTGACAGAATGGGTGAGAGAGTAGTAAATCTTTGTCATCTTCACCTACTGAGATTTTGTTACCTCAGCATAACCTAGTGTTAACCTGACTGATACACCAGGGGAAGAGGGAAGGAAAACCATGGTTAGCAGAGGGCACAAAGGCAAAAGAGCAGCATGTATTCAAGGCAATGAAAGGGATTCAGGGTGGTTCAAGGGTGGGGTTCAAGTGGACTAACAATGTGAAGTAAGGCTGAAGAAGAAAGGCAAGGACTGGATTAGCTGGAGTCTGGGGTGTCATGCTAAGGCTTTGGATTTTATCCTATGAACCATAGTAAGAACTTGTGATAGATTGTCATCAGAGGCTTGACATCCAGTTTCTTTTACTCTGACAGTGGTATGGAAAACAACTGGTTTAGGTTGTGGGATAGAGTCAGACTAGAGGAAGAAACATTAGTTAGAGGCCCCAGTAGTGAGGGAGTGCATTAAAGAAAGTAGAGGAGGCCGGGTGCGGTGGCTCACACCTGTAATACCAACACTTTGAGAGGCCGAGGCAGGCAAATCACTTGAGCTCAGGAGTTCAAGACCAGCCTGGGCAACATGGCAAAACCCCACAAAAAATACAAAACACTAGCTGGACATGGTGGTGCGCACCTATAGACTCAGCTACTGGGGGTGGAGGGAGGCCTGAGGCAAGAGAATTGCTTGAGCCTTGGAGGGTGAAGGTGCAGTGAGCTGTGATCATGCCATTATACTGCTGCCTGGGTGACACAGGGAGACCGTGTGTCAAATAAAATAAAAATAAAAAATAAGAGGAAGAAACTACTGTTTGATTAGTCAGAAGCATTCAAATAATTCCTCCATGAGATTTTTCTCCTTGTTTTTTTGGCTTTATCTCTTTGACGCATTTTCCAAACATGTATAATCCATGTGTATCACTGGCTATGTCTGCTAAAAGTACAGATTCTCAGGCCCCTCCCTTGATGATCCTTTTTCAATTGGTCTAGGGTAGAGCCCAGGAATCTGTATATGTAACCCTATTTCAGTTGGTTCTTAGAATTAGTCATGATTAAGAAACTGTTTTAGAGAATGACTTCTTCAGTGCCAATTAATTGCTAAGTAGGTTTACTTCTATCATATTTGTGTAACTTAATTTGTCACATTTCTCCTAAGGCAGTAGGTTAGGATCCATCAACCTTAGGGTTGATGCTTGTCATTATTTTTCTTCAAGGTCCTTAGACTAATAATATTGGCATCAGAAATAATCTTCAAACCAATTTGCTAGTTTGTACTACTCATCACTGTGATTTCTACCCCACAGCCTCAGCATAAAAAGGAAGGAGTGAAATGAGCTGTCCTCTTCTAGGGCCATCCCCTTCTGAAGTGTTTCAATGGTAACTTCCCAGGCTTCATTCCATTATTTTCTAACTGTGTGACAGTCCAGGAAAATGAGTGGG